TCTCAAAAAAAAAAAGGCAAAATTATTGTTCATATAATTTTATGGATGAATTCAACTTTTATTCTCTTAATTCTCCTGCTTTTAAACATTTTTTTACAATGATCCTTTAAATAATATTCAGTATAAAAAATTAAAATACACATAGAGAGTACAATATGGCCATATATCCCTCATCCAGATTGAATAGTTACCAAGATTTGGCCACATTTAGCTAATATTTCCCTTTGTTGAAATACTTTAAAGTAAATTAATAGAGATTGTAAAATTCCATCCCACTTGAGCAGTCATTTTTTAAAAAAATTATAAAACGGTTTGCCAGAGAATCAGGTTCAAAAATATTATAAAACTAGTTCATGTTCATGATGAATATTGAAGCACATAAAAACAACACAGAATGTGTAAATACTTGAAGTAAAAAGTAGAAATCCCTCTTCACCCCTTCTCCCCTGCCAGTTTAGTGGGTATCCTTTCAGTTTTTTTCTTATGTATATAGGAATAAATTTTTTATAACTTAGATTAACTGCTTAAAACATAATTTTGGAATAAAGGAACAAGAGAAGAAACTTGAATGCAAGCACATATGACAGCACTCCAGATTGGTGCCTTAATTGTTGGAGAGTGAGGACTGGGCCCCTCCTAAGTTACTAGCTAGGGTGGGATATGTTTTCTTCTTCAAATGCCACTGATCATCAAGAAACACACATCAGAAACCAGGAATGGGAAGATGATATTGGCATGGACCCTCCTTTTACTGCCCCTTGCCACCTCCCCACTTAATTTCTCAGGTAACAAGTGGATACACATAGTAAATTCGAGAGCCCCTGCTTTAGGCTCCCTCAAATGAGAGTCACTGTATATAATCCACCTTATTACGTTTTGCACTTTTTATCTTAAAAGCAAAACTCAAATTTAGAGAAAGTCGGCATGAATAATGTAATGAATTACTGTATACCCATAACCCAGATTCACTAGTTACTATTGCCATGTTTATTTTCTCTATATATACATACTGATATTTATTAATATTGTTGTTATTGCTGAAGAATATGAGAATAAATTATAGATATCATGACTCTTTACTTCTTGATCTTTCAGTGTGTAAGTGCATTTTTGGGGAAGCTTCTTCTTCTTCTTTTTTTTTTTGAGACAGAATCTCACTCTGTCACCAGGCTGGAGTGCAGTGACAAGATCTCAGCTCACTGAAACCTCCACCTCCTGAGTTTAAGCGATTCTCCTGCCTCAGCCTCCCCAGTAGCTAGGACTACAGGTGTGTGCCACCACGCCCAGCTAATTTTTGTATTTTTAGTAGAGACGGGGTTTCATCATGTTGGCCAGCATGGTCTCGATCTCTTGACTTTATGATCCACCTGCCCCGGCCTTGGAAAGTGCTGGGATTACAGGCATGAGCCACCGTGCCTGGGCTAGGAAGCTTCATTTTAATGTGTGCTGAAGTCTGGGGCAAGGACCCTCAGGGTCTACCGGATGCAACATTTCCATGTACAGTTTACTTGAGTAGTTTGTGGAGTTACCAGATCATTTTTGTACTATAAATTGACAAATTACACAGGCTTTTCAGTTGTTTCATTTTTATAAAAGAAAAATATTTCTTTTAGAAAATAAATTTTGTAGTGTTAGAATTGGAGTAAATTTTTCCCATTCTAGTTTTTCTTTTTTCTGAAATGTATACATAGTTTAAAAAAATAACAGCTTTATTGAAATATTACTCACCTAACATAAAATTCATTCTTTTAAAGTACATAATTCAGTGGGTTTTAAAAAATATATTCACATGTTGAATTGTCATCACTACTTAATTACAGAACATTTTCATTGCCTCAAAAAGGTACCTGTCAGCAGTGATTTTTCCTTCTCACATCTCTGTAGTCTCTGGCAGTCACTCATTCTGTTTTGTGTCTCCATAGATTTGCCTGTTCTGGACATCTTATGGAAATGGAATCATGTAATATGTCGCTCTTTGTGTCTGACTTCTTGCATTTAACACAATGTCTACAAGGTTCATCCATGTTGTAGCATGTATCAAAACTTCAATTAATATTCTTTTATATAGGTAGGTTACATTTTGTTTATCCATTCATCAGTTGGTAGACATGCATATTGTTTTCATGTCTTAGCTATCATAAATAATGCTGCTGTGGACATTTGCATACAAGTTTTTTTGTGGAAATATGTTTTCAATTCTCTTGGGAATATACCTAGAACTGGAATGGGTCATTTGGGAACTACATTTAATCTTGTGAGGAACTTTTCTGAGAAACTGTCAGCTTGTTTTCCCAAGTGGCTGTACTATTTCACAATCTCACTAGCAATGCATGAGCATTCCAACTTTTTCATATCTTTACTGAGACTTGTTATTGTCCACCTTTTTTTATTATAGCCATCCTAATGTACATGAAATTTCACCATAGTTCTGATTTGCATTTTCCTAATGACTAATGATATTGAGCATATTTTCATGTGCTTATTGGTCAAATTGTGTAACTTCTTTGGAGGAATTCTATTCAAATTCTTTGCCCATTTTTTAGTTGAGTTATTTGTCCTTTCATTGTTGAGTTTTAAGAGGTTTTTATATATTCTGGAGACAAGTACCTTATCAAACATATGATTCAAAACATGTTCTCCCATTCTGTGAGTTGTCTTTTTATTTTCTTAATGATGTTTTCTGAAGCACAAAAGTTTTTAATTTTAATAAAGTCTAATTAATTTTTTTTTATTTTGTCATTTGTGCTTTTGGGATCACATCTAAGAAACTATTGCTAATCCAAAGTTATGAAGATTTATACCTATGTTTTTTCTAGGAAGGTTGTAGAGTTTTAATTCTTATTTGTAGATCTATGATTCATGTTGTGTTAATCTTTGCATATGGTGTGAGGTAGGGACATATGATATTTTAAGAATAAAAGTATTTAAGAAAAAATATTTCAGAATAAAATGTTTTTAAGAATAAAAAGTTTTAAAAATAAGTTTATGATCATAATGAACTGATAGCTTTCAAAGTCCTAATATTTGTTGTTTCAAAATTTGTATGCCTGTAGGCTAGAAATTTAAATTGATCATCATTAGATTGAATTAGAAAAAGATCTACAAAAACAAAGTCAGCTTTTTCCTTTTTAAAAAGATTGAATAATGGAATTGTCAGATGGCTGCCATCTGTGTATTGTTCTATCAACAAAGTATATGCATGTGTTTTTTGCTCCTCCCAACAATCTCATTATTCACAAGAAAGCTAAAAATAGTCATGAAGATCTAGGTGATAAATTTTAAGCAAACAGGCAATTAAAAAATAACAGGATTGTGAAATATCCAGTTAAAATCATATTAGAAAATGGTCCAGGAATCCCCAAATAACTTTTATGCACATTATATGGAGATAAATGGATCTTAAACTTTCTGGTTTTCATTTTCAGAGGTCATAGACATTTAAAAAAATTTTTTTTTGATAATGAAAGAATATTTATTTCCATGTTGTGCTCAGGCCTGAGCTAAAGTACATGAAGACATTGAATGATGTCACCCGGGGATATGTAACCAGACAATATACAGGACTGAGATGAACAAGTGGTGGTGGTGGTAGAGGGGGTTGCATCAGTAATTCATGTAGAAGGAATCAAGCAGACAGTAAAACAAAAATTTGCAGAACACACCAAGTGATCAAATCTCACATCTTCAGGATAGGCAAACTTGATTGCTGGGTTAAGAACCTTAGAGGTCAATTAAGGTGGGCAGTGGTGGCATTTTCTCAGCTTAGATTGTCCTCTGATATGTATATTTCAGCCTGTACATCTACTTGCCAGCACTGTACATTTAATTTCATGAGAAACGAAGTCCTCAATTAAGGGAAGGGAATCGCTTTGACCAGATCTTATGGCTCAGATTTGGCAGGTTGGCAAGATCTTAAAGTCTCCATAACCAAAGTTAGAGAGAGGCTCTATATGCTAAAAGCAGTGACTAGTCACTGCATGTGGTCTGGGCCTTAATCCTCTGCAGGGAGACTGACTACAGCACCTGGCTTTTCAGACTCTACCTAGGAATTCCACCATAATTAAAATATGTATAAACTTGACCTACACCCTCCAACTCAGATAACTCAAAGGGCCCAGGACCCTTCCCCACAGAGCCTAAAGCCCAATATCCTTCCCTCAAGGAATACCAGCAGTGTTCAAGTTTAGCTTTGTTACAGAAAATGAGTCATAACAGATTTCTCAGTTTGTGACACTAGTCACCTTGAAGAACACCTCTAAATGCATGAACTCATTGAGACTGGTCCAACCTCGAATTTCTGGCTCCTTGTTTTTCCTGCCCCTGCCTACCTTTAAGAGACAGGGTCTCACTCTGTCACCGAGGCTGGAGTGCAGTGGCATGATCATAGCTCACCACAGCCTTAACTCCTGGGCTCAAGCAATCCTACCATATCAGCCTCCTGATTAGCTAGGCCTACAGGCATGAACCACCAGGCCGGGCTAATTTTTTTTTGTAGAGATAGGGTCTCACTATGTTGCTCAGGCTGATATTGACTCCTATCCTCAAGTGATCTTCTGCCTCAGGTTCCCAAAGCGATGGGATTACAGGTTGTGAGCCACCATGTCCAGCCCCTACCTACATTTTCAATATTCCACTCAACAAATAACATTGAGACTTCCTGGGTCTGGAAAGTAAAAAAAAAAAACTAAGTACTATGTAGAATTAAGCAAGCATGTAAGTGATGTTTCAGAAGTAACCTGTTTCTGTTTCAAGTAAGGCCTACATCAATGCCCTAACTCAAACAAGGACAGACAATAGTTAATTAGTTTTTATTTCATAATCATAAACTTAACTCTGCAATCCAGCTAGGTATGAAAGGGGATGAAGAAAACATGGAACCCAAAGGGAACTGCAGTGGAAGCACAAAGATTCTAGGATACTTCCAGCAAATGGGGTGGAGGGGTGCTCTCCCGAGCTACAGAAGGAATGGTCTGGTGGTTAAGGTAAAACACAAGTCAAACTTACCAGAGCTGTCCACAGTCATCTATGGTGGTCTTCTTGCTGGTCTTGACATTCCTGGATCCAAAGAGTTCCATGGCCTCCACAGTATTCATGCCTTCTTTCACCTTGCCAAAGACTACATGCTTGCCATCCAACCACCCCGTCTTGGCAGTGCAGATGAAAAACTGGGAATAGTTTGTATTGGGTCCAGAATTTGCCATGGACAAGATACTTGTATGCTTCAGGATAATGTTCTCATCTTCAAATTTCTCCCCGTAGATGGACTTGCCACCAGTGCCATTACAGTGTGTGAAGTCACCACCCTGACACATAAACCCTGGAATAATTCTGTGAATGCAGGGACCTTTATAACCAAATCCTTTCTCTTCAGTGCTCAGAGCACAAATGTTTTCTGCTGTCTTTGGAATCTTTTCTGCAAACAGCTCGAAGGAGACGTGGTCCAAGGGCTCGCTGCCGACAGTAACGTCGAAGAACATGGTGGGGTTGTCCATGGCTGATAGTACCAGGACTCCTGGCGACAGTAGCCTCTGCAAAGCTGGTCATAGAAATTTGAGAGTTTCTCCTAGATGGAGGTTTTAGCTACTTATTTTTATATTAAATGGTAAATTCTTGACTGTAGGTACCTTGTCTTAATCCCCTTTGTTTTTATTTTTTTCCATCCCCAGGGCAGCCATGTTTGCTTTTACGGATTGTGTAGTACACAGCTCTAAAGAGTGCCTGGGGTTGAGCAGTGCACATCTATCTCACTGTACAGGGAAGCACGGACTGTCACAATAAACTGCAGGCAGCAAGTCTTTTTATTTATTTGCTGGGTTAAAATGATTCCCATAAGTTCCCTCTAAAATTACCGACAGATTTTCGGTGGGAAGAAGGCATTGGAGACTGGCATTAAACACTAGTCCAAGTTAATATTTGCATTGAATGCCTCTCTTATGTCTTTTAGCATACATTAAAATGGACTCTAGTCTTGTTCTAGTAAAACCCACGACTGAGTGAACCAAGGACGAGACTGCTGGTTGGTCGTGCACACTCTGGAGGGTGCCAGGAGGCTGGCTTCATCCATGTTGCAATGTTTCCTAAGGAATATCTTACATCTAGAGGCTATGGTGTCTCACATCTTTGTCCCCAGTTATCTACCTTGTGTGTACCTTGCATTCCTTCGTTTTCAGAATGCAGAATTGAACTTGGCTTTGAAGTAAAACAATACTGGTTTTTGAGTGATCCAGCAGCTGTTATACATTGGTGAGAGTTTTCTTCTCCACCCAAGTCTTGTTTTCCATTTCTCTCTCCATGACTTTCTCTTCTACTCCCACCTCTTCAGCTTGCTCTACCCAATTACCATACCAGAAACAATTCTTGTCTATCTCCTTTCTCAAAGAGATGCTTCCTTTATTCAACTGCTTAAATAAGTAAAACAAAGTTTCCCTTTCCCCTGAACCACCTGCTCAAAATACAAGCGGGAGACCAATTATAACCCAGGAGACAAATCCCCTTTGAACAGCTGATCCAGGGAATGGATTTGGAGGCTTATCTTCGGTCTGAATCACAGGGTCACACCAGGGTCATCCCTAGAGCAAATTGTCCCCTTGGCTTCCACTGAGCTTACCCTGAAATGTGCACACTGGATCTCTTTTCCCATGGATTATGAAGCTGTTTGGTGAAGGCTGTTCATTTGATGTACTAATCAGCATCTTGACATAACACATGGGAAGAGTTTAAACGTTTGCTTTTGTACTGCAAGGCTTCTAGGGTACTTTCTAATTAGGTCCTTGTAATCACAGACAAAAGCCTGTGACTGTAAATCTGAAAAAATGACTTCCAAAGCATTGGGCAGTGCTTCTCAGACTTTCATGTGTATACACATCATCCAGGTATGTCATTTAAATGCAGGTTTTAATTCCCTAGGTCTGAGGCATGGCCTAAGATTCTGCATTCTAACAAGGTTTCAGGTGAGGCTGATGCTGTGGTCTGCTGGGCTGCACTTTGAGGAGACCCTACTTGATGGACAGTCAGCCAGGAAACTTTCAGTTTGAGGCATAATTAGTGAAACTTCATATTCCTTAACTACTGCCCAAGGGCCTTGAATGGTAGATGCACCTGTGTATGGTAGATGCACCTGACAGTGATAACCTGACTTCAGCATACCCTGAGAATGACCCTGCATGGTAGATGCACACAAATGTGTATTTGGAGTTCTGACCTAAGGAATTCAGAAGTTGCCAGCCTGGAGATTCATTTCTTATCCATGAGGAATATCTGAGCCCCTCACCCATGCCAAGGAACACAGGCTGTACAGAAGATCAAAGCCTTGTGTTTTGGGTTAAATGAAGGTTACCAGTTGGAGGTTGTTAGGAGGAGGGTGCTAAGTGAAAACACTATTTCAACTGTGTGCTTCTTATAAGCGGCTCTCCTGCCTTGCCCTTGCCCACTGCCACTGGGGAGAGCAGTTCCGTGTAGCCCACTGTCACTGAACCATCCCTATATGTAAGTAAGTTTCCCTCAATAAACCCCACGTCTGCTTTGCTGGCTCTGGGTCTCTTGTTCCGGCTCTTGAAGCTGGTGCATTCCCTATTGGAGCTGAGAGGGGTCTGGCATGATTGATTTCCTCTGTACAACTGCCCAAACTTTGCTGAGCATTCTTATATTTGCTCCCTTTCTCTGGTTCAAATGGTTTCTTGTTGTAGTCATCATTCGAATGATACTTATTTGTTTACATGCCTGCTTCCTAGACTCTGAGCATGTAGGGATAAGACAGCCAATTCTCATTCATCTTTGGATCAAGGGCACCTAGAACAGTATCTGGTAAAACACACACACACACACACACACACACACACACACACACACAGAGTAGGCACTCAACAAATACTGGATAAAAGAAAAACTGATAGATTAAATTCATAAAATTAAAACCTTCTATCCATTCCAAACATCATAAACTGGATACAAAGGCAAATGATAAACTGAGAAAGATATTTGCAGTGTATTAAGATCTTTTATGAGTTGCTACGATTTGAGTTGGGTCTGTCAAAAGATATGTCACAGTCCTAACCCCCAGTACCTCGGAATAGGAACTTACTTGGAAATGGAGTCATTGCAGAAATAATTAGTTAAGCTGCGGAGTAGGGAGGGCTCTTAATCCAATATGACTGGTGTCATAAAAGGAGGAGACATGGACATACAGGGAGAACCTCATGTATGAATGGAAGCAGAGATTCAACTGGTGCAGCCACAGGCTGTGGAACACCTGGGGCTGCCAGAAACTGGAAGAGGCAAGGAAGGATCCTCCCTAGAGACCTCAGCGAGAGTATGTACTGCCAATGCTTTGATTTTGCACTTGCTGTCTCTAGAATGCTGAGAATACATTTCTGTTGTTTTAAGCCACCTAGTTTGTGGTATTTTGTTACAGCAGCCCTAGTAAACTGACACATAAGCAACAAGAAAAAGAATGATCTAGTAGCAAAGGGGGCAAAGAACCCAGTCAAAGGTAGTGCACAAACAAATGCAAATTGCTCATAAACAAACAACATTCAAGGGCTAGTAATCAAAGCAATGCAAAATGAACACAACATTGAAATGCTCTTTTTATCTTATTATATTTATTATTTTAATTAGGAAAAAATACAGTGTTGTGAGTTTAGGACAACCAGGCCCTCTTCTGTGTTTGAGCCACTAGTAGCTGTTGATATTACCTCCAAATATATCTTAAGTTGTTCCACTTCTCTCTATGTCTTCTGCCATTGCTTCCTTCTAAGATACCATTGTCATTGTCATTGACTTTTTAAAAATTTTATTATACTTTAAGTTCTGGGATACATGTGCAGAACGTGCAGGCTTGTTACACAGGTATATATGTGCCATGGTGGTTTGCTGCACTCATCAACCCATCATCTATATTAGCTATTTCTCCTAATGCTATCCCTCCCCTATTTCCCCACCCCCTGACAAGCCCTGGTGTGTGATGTTCCCCTCCCTGTGTTCATGCATTCATGTGTTCTCATTGTTTAACTCCCACTTATGAGTGAGAACATGTGGTGTTTGGTTTTCTGTTCTTGTGTTAGTTTGCTGAGAATGAAGGTTTCCAGCATCATCCATGTCCCTACAAAGGACATGAACTCATCCTTTCTTTGGCTGCATAGTATTCCATGGTGTATATGTGCCACATTTTCTTTATCCAGTCTATCATTGATAGGCATTTGGGTTGGTTCCAAGTCTTTGCTATTGTGAATAGTGCTGCAATAAACATACGTGTGCATGTGCCTTTATAGTAGAATGATTTATAACCCTTTGGGTATATACCCAGTAATGAGATTGCTGGGTCAAATGGTATTTCTGGTTCTAGATCCTTGAGGAATTGCCGCACTGTCTTCCACAACGGTTGAACTAATTTACACTCCCACCAACAGTGTAAAAAGCATTCCTCTTTCTCCACATCCTCTCCAGCATCTGTTGTTTCCTAACTTTTTAATGATCGCTATTCTAACTGGCATGAGATGGTATCTCATTGTGGTTTTGATTTGCATTTTGCTAATGATCAGTTATGATGAGCTTTTTTTCACATGTTTGTTGGCTGCATAAATGTCTCCTTTTGAGAAGTGTCTGTTCATATCCTTTGCCCACTTTTTGATGGGGTTGTTTGTTTTTTTCTTGTAAATTGGTTTAAGTTCTTTGTAGCTTCTGGATATTAACCCTTTGTCAGATGGATTAAAGACTTAAACATAAGACAATAAAACCATAAAACCATAAAAACCCTAGAAGAAAACCTAGGTAATGCCATTCAGGACATAGGCCTGGGCAAAGATTAAGCAATGGCAACAAAAGCCAAAATTGACAAATGGGATCTAATTAGACTAAAGAGCTTCTGCACAGCAAAAGAAACTACCATCAGAGTGAACAGGCAACCTACTGAATGGGAGAAAATTTTTGTCATTGACTTTCTAGACAACTGAATTAATCTAAATGGTGTTGTTACTTACCTTGCTTAGAGCTGCCAGAAGGAATCATTTAAAAAACATTAGTCAGACCACATGACTCCTCTGCTTAAAACCCTTCAGTGACAGCTTTCATTGCAGTTAGTGTGGTCCCTGCTAAGCTCCCGCTTTCTCCGTCAATGAGCTTTGGACCCGTGGCTTCTTTCAGTTCCTTTGTAGAGCTCTTCTTGTGGGGCCAGCACACATTGCTAGTCCCTCTCTGAGAATGCTTGTCCTGCCACTCTTCACCTTCTGATCTTAGCTTCAATGTCCCAATGGAACTTCCTTGGTATTCCTCCTCGGGCCCTGCCTAAGTGAGGTCACTGTATTATATTTTCTCATGGTAATTTGTTGGTTTTGCTCATGATTTATTATTGTCATGAATATTGGGTATTTGCTTATTGTCTCTCTCCCTATCTAGATTATAAACTTTATAAAGGCAAGGACTGTATTTATGTCATCCTCCAGCTGTAACTCAGACTTGGGTATAGAAGCAAACAGATAATAGGCAATCAATGTATATTTGCTGACTGAATAAATGGAGATTAACTTGGCAAAAGAGGTCAAAAGTCTTAGAAATATTGATATCCTTTCAATCAGTAATCCCATTTCTAGGAATATAGTTTAAGAAAATAATTAGGGATGTGTGTCAAGACTAGTTACATTGCAACTTAAATA